CGGGCCCCTGGCTTCCCATGCGGGCGGCGCGGGCCTGGGAGGGGCGCCCGGAGCCAGCCGCGCAGCATGCACTGGGGGGTTGGCTTTGCTTCGTCCAGGCCGTGCGTGGTGGATCTGAGCTGGAACCAGAGTGTCTCCTTCTTCGGCTGGTGGGCCGGGTCCGAGGAGCCCTTCTCTTTTTATGGGGACATCATCGCTTTCCCTTTGCAGGATTACGGTGGGATCATGGCAGGGCTGGGCTCTGATCCCTGGTGGAAGAAAACCCTTTACTTGACTGGGGGAGCTTTGCTGGCCGCAGCAGCGTATCTGCTCCACGAACTGCTGGTCATTAGGTGAGCCGGAGGGGAGAGGGGCGCAGAGAGGGGCACCTGGCCTGGGCAGGGCGGGCACGGGTGCGGGGGGTTCCCAGCCCCTCCACCACGCGCCCCCGCGCCCGAGCGTCCGGCTCTCGGCGTGGACACCTGGCCGCGAGGGGCTGTGAGAGTGGATGGGCGAATCAAACTGCCACCCAGAGGGAAAAAGACATTTGTCTTCCGCCCAGTTGGTGCCGAAAGGCAACGGGTCACACTAGTCGTTAGCTTGAGGACTGGTGTGACAAATGCCCTTAAGGAGATCACAAGTGCGATCAATGCATTTGGAACAATAGAATTGGGCTCTGCAGAAATGCTAGGGTAGGTACACTTTTATGAGATCCCTTATTGGTTGATAGGTAACAATGCTAGAATATTAACTAGCAACCTCCTCTATCTCTCCCTAAATGCGGAAAAGCTCTGGAAACCTGCAGGTCCCCACGACTAAGGGTTAGTGGTGTACAGTTTTGATGCAGCCTTAACTTGCTTCTCTGCTAGCGAAGATGAAGCACCATCTTCTGGCTTCGATGTTATTGTTATCGGATCCAGGCTCTGGAGGAACACATGGGCGTGTTTGACACAACACGGAATCTGGAATCTCCCGAAGCCGTAAACACTGGCTTCCGTTGCAGCAGAGATGTTTACAGGATTGGTTTGGAAATTCCACACTCTGGAGACCCCTGCTGTGGGCCCGACCAGCCCCATAAGAGATCTTTATTGGAGTAGTGGGACAGCACAGGGTTGGGACACAGTCTTTAGCTAATTGGTACTTCAATGTATGTTTGGGGAAAGATCATTGGAAGTAAGCAGTTTTTTTTTTTTTTTAATAGCTTGAGATATCCCTCCTGGCCAATATTTTCTGAGGGAGAAATAGCCCCACACTGTCTTTTTCTGGGAGTGGGGAGTGAGGGGGCATCCTGCAGTAGAGGTTAACAAAGACAATGGCAAGTGACCCTTCAAGGGCCTGCAGGGATTTCAGGAGGGCATTGGGACAGCTTCCCTCTGTCTTGAATATTTCCTGTGTCTGAGAGAAATCCTTTAGATCTGGGAAAATGTGTGACTTTCAAACCAGTTACCAACAATAGAAGATTGAGGAGTTTATGTATATATGTGTGTATGTATACACATATACATATATACATATATATATATATATATATATCTGATTTTGCTTAGTGCCTTAAAGCTAATAGAAAAAATTTCCCAGATGATTCCATATTTGTGTCTACTGTAGCATTCAATTTAAGTTAAACTTCAAGCCATATAGAGAGTTAAAACCTTTGTGCAGTATTTTAAAGGGTAACCAACTGTTTCCCAATTATATACCAATCTGGATCCTTTGAACATTGTGAACCATGTGTCTTTTCAGCTTTTCTCCAGTTTGAGGAGGGAGTGAAGTTCACAGGGCTGAGTCTATAACATGGCTTTGATGACCTTGCAGAAATAGCAGAGTGCTCAGAGACCACTTTTGAGTGGGCCAGAGGTGTGGACCCAGACATTAGCAAGTCCTATGCCCATGGCTAGCTCCTCCACTGACAGGATCACAGCCCCAGCAAGAGATACCTATGTGGGTTAAGGAGTTGTAAATCTTAAACTCTAGTATAATAGACAACAAAGAAGGGCTGCCATTTTTGAGAACTTAGTAGGGATCCTGATTTGAATGTGGGATGACACTTCTAATAACTGTGATTTTTGAGATTTGATCTCCATTTTATATAAATAAGGAAATCGAAGGTTAAGCAACTTGCCAAAGATCACACAGGAAGAAGAGCAGGATCTAGATACAAGTGTGAGAATGTGTGTGTGTGTGTGTGTGTGTGTGTGTGTGCGTGTAAAAATGGAACCTGGCTCTTAGAAAGTGTCCATCTGGCAATGTTTTGGTGAGGGAAGAGGAAGAGAAATGTGCAGAAATGGGGCATTTCCCAGAAAAGGCAGGTCCGTGGCAGAGGCTCAACATTCTGTCTGCTTCAATGGATAGAGGCATTGGGAAATGGGGAGGGTCAACACAGATTTCAGGAGTTACCAGGTAGAAACTTCCATGTAAGGTGAAATCCAAGTTTCAATTGTCTGTATAGTTTAGGCCAAAAGTGTGAAATATGTTTGATGAAAATTGTGATTAAAACCATGCCATCAGCCAGGTGCCAATGGCTCATGCCTTTGATCCTAGCTACTCAGGAGTATGGTAATTTGAAGCCAGCCAGGACAGGAAAGTCTGTAAGACTCTTAATCTCTAGCCACCAAAAATAGGAACTGGAACTGTGACAGAAGTGGTAGAGTGCTAGTTTTGAGCACAAAAGCTAAACAACAGCACCAAGGCTGTGAGTTCAAGCCCCTAGATGTGCACATGTATGCACACATCCACACATGCTTTCATACACATATCCACACTGACTGTGTTCATGGGCAGCTGCAAACTCTTCCCCACCCTGAATTCTGTTACAAAACTTAACCTTTATCTAGAACTATGTTTTTAGAGTGAAAAATAAAGTTGACAGGTGAGAATTATTTAGGAAGTCAAATTAGTAATTATAACCTAAACAGAAATATTTACTTGCATTGATATTTTGAGTTTCATCCATTTTCTCACCTCCAGATGAAAAACAGAAATATTGTCTAGACCCTGTGTTTTCCCTGCGAAGAGATGATGTGGCAGCTATTTTAAATTTAATTGGGCATTTGGAATTTGATTGTGCATTGTATAACCAAGCAATGACTCCATTACCGGTAGCTCAGTTGTACTTTTGGCACTCCAGCTCAGCCTGTCCGGGAAAACTTACTTTGTGAGTCAAGTGGCCCCTGAGTACAAAAGCCCCTGGTCTTCAAAAGCTAACACCTGACTCCTCAGCCAGGCATAGAAGGCCTAGTCCTCTGTGACTACCTGGGCCAGGGGAGAAGGAGCTAGACCCCTACTAAAATAGCTAGTTGTTACTCTACAGGCTCTATCCTATAAGTCATTTTATACACTGAAACTGTACAGGAACCTAAACTGAGAGAGTTCTGGCTTACCTGGGTTTGAATCCAGATTCTGCTTTTAACCAACCATGTCCCTTGGATATGACCATAAGCTCTTGGTCCCTTAGGTTTCGTATCTATAAAATAAGGATAATTACTATTACCCTTCCTTGTAGGGCTGATTTAATTTGTTACCACATGTAAAGCACTTTGTTCTAAGTGGTGGTCATTTAGTGAGCCTTCAATAAAGGTTAACCATCACTAACACTCAATAGCTCTAGTGGTTTGAGTCAAACTGGCTGTATGAAAAAAATTAATTGAGGAGTTGCCTATTTTGAGTGTCTTTGAAGTGCTTAAGAGCTTCAGAGCTGGAGTTAATACAGACTTGAAGTTACATTGGCATTCTTTGGTCAAGGTATTTAACTCTGCTGAGATTTAGTTACCTTGTCTCCCCATAAAATGTAAGACTGGTATGATTTCTTAACCTATAATACTATCCACAATATTATGGAGTTAGTATGTATGCTATATCATATGCATGAATCACTGACATATGGTTGCCATATGATGAATATCCATTCTCACTATGTATTCTTTAGTTGTTTTTTTTGTGGTGCTAGGATTTGAACTCAAGGATTGAACTCATTTGCACGTTCTAGCCAGGCACTCCAGCACTTGAGCCCATTCTTACTATTATGTAAAATTAAATGTTAATCAGAGTCAAATTATTTTGTCTAGTAGGACATTTGTTTTATAGTTTATCTCCTTCCTTTTGTTCTCAAAATTCTACTTTACCAATTTACATGGAAATACTACTTCGTGATACGAGCTATTTTACTGGGCAAAATTGTGAGGTCTACAGTTCATGCTCTCTATGAACATAGTCTAAGTGTGTGCATTTTTTTTTTTTGGTCGTGGGGGGCTTGAACTCATGTCCTGGGTGCTGTTTCTGAGCTCAAGGCTAGTGCTCTATCACATTGAGCCACAGCTTCCACGTCCAGTTTTTGAGTGGTTCATTAGAGATAAGAACCTCATGGGGACTTTCCTGCCCTGAGTGGCTTCGAACCCTGATCCTCAGATCTCAGCCTCCTGTATAGCTAGGATTACAGGCATGAGCCACTGGTGCTTGGCTCCCACACATTTCATCTAAAGGGAATAATGTTGTTTCATAGCAAATATTGCCAGAAAAACACCAGTATTTTCAGAGTGAGTCCTTCTGAGCTTAAGTTGGCTCAGCCCATGGGTGGTAAATTTGTTGAGGAGAATTTATATGACAAGGTGGGTGAGAGTTTATGGGATGATGATCAAGAGCTTGTCCTTGCTTGGGTGGAATTAGATGTAGAATGAAACCTTTCCTTGGGGAAGAACCAAAAATTTAGGAAGGGGCAATGGGAAGAGTGCAGTTTATGTGATTAGAAAATGCTGGGTAAAGTGAGACGAAAATTGGGAAATACCCCTGAGGGGTGGTGTATGAGTGGACTGTGGAATGAGGACATTTTGTAACTTAAGGGGAGAAGACCCTCTCTCTTTGAATGGGCATATCTCACTATTCTTACTCAGTATTTGGCAGCTCACTAAATGTTTACAGATGTAATTTCTTATTCAATCATGCTGTCATCAGTATAGAATTGGTATTGGCCTCATTCTCCAGGTGAAAGGAGAGAGAGAGAGCTGAGAGGTGGCCAGGGGGTAGCGGGGCTTATGCTTCATCCCCAAAGTTTCCAGACTTGGACCCAATGTTATTGCTATGTGGTGGCCATTGAGAAACTATCTAGGGAAGTCCTCACCACAAAGTGGCCAAAGGAAAAGATGGATGTGTGGCTTAGACTGAAGAAAGGAGAAAACCAGGATTATTAAGATAGATGTTCAATGGCCAAAGTGGGTGCCTTATGAAAAGAAGGAGGGAGGGAAGAAAAAAGAGATAGAGAGAGGGAGGCAGAGGTGGAGGAGGGAAGAGAAAGAGAGGCGGGAAGGAGAAGTTCATTTTAGCTCCATTTAGAAGCCAGCTTCCACAATATCACAGGTAATGGGCCAGATGAGAGCTAGACAGCTTAGAAGAGGGAACAGAATGTTGAATATGATTCCCTGTAGACTGGGTCATGGCACAATTGATCTGCACGGTTACTCTCTTAATGATGGAGAGATTTTCATTTAGTCTAAGAGCCAAGAACATAGGGGCGGAAAGGCTGGTTTAGTCTAGGTTCTCTTATTTACTAGCAATGTAACTTTGGGTAAGTTAATTCTCTGTACACCAAAGTTCTCATCCATGAAACACGTATAAAAGTAGTGACTACGTTATAAGGTTATTGGGAGATTAAATGAGACAATACTTGTGTGTGTGTGTGTGTGTGTGTGTGTGTGTGTGTGTGTGTGTGTGTGTGTGTGCTGGTCTTTGGGGCTTAAATTTGGGGCCTGGGTGCTGTCCTTGAGGTTTTTTTTTGCTCAAGGCTAGCACTTTATCACTTGAGAAATACTTCCACCTCTAGATTTTTGATAGTTAACTGGAAATTAGTGTCTCATGGCCTTTCCTTTTCAGGCTGGCTCTGAACTGAGATCGGAGGATTCTTAGATCTCAGCCTTCTGAGCCAGAATTACAGGCAGGAGCCACTGGCACGTGGCTAAGATAATACTTTTGAAACTCAGTCATGTGTGACACATATTAAACATTAGACATATTTTGTCTATCTCTCTTGTCCCTGGCAGGACATAGATATTGGAGAAGAGGTGGAAAATAGTCTTCCTGTCTGTAGGCTACAGGTAACAGAAGCAGGTTGATTTTAAGCTAGTTTTCTGATCCATTGGGGCCATGGTGGTACCAGAGCTGTGATCCCTTTGGAGTTTTGACTAAGCATCCATCTTCTTAAGTACTGGGTACTCTTAAGTACCCTGCAGGTTGTGGTCCCCTTAAGAACTAAGGGAACTGGATGTGTAATGAGCAGATTGTTCTTTATTTCTGTTTGGTTTTTGACAGGAAACAGCAAGAGCTTGACTCCAAAGATGCTATTATTTTGCATCAGTTTGCAAGACCTAACAATGGTGTTCCCAGTTTGTCTCCTTTCTGTTTGAAAATGGAAACTTATTTAAGGATGGCTGACTTACCATACCAGGTACTTGTCTGCAAATATGTTTGGTTCTCAGTGACAGCATCAGTTAGAGGGGGAAGTATTAATGTCACACAAGTGGATGCCAGAAGAGGTAGGTCTGAAAGTAATAGTGCCTAGTTCTTCGTAAGATAGAGATATAATTCTAGGGTGGTTTTTTTTTTCAGTACTACAGATTGAACTCAGGGCCTCACAATTGCTAGTCAATTGCGTTACCACTTGACCTAAGCCTCCAGTCCCTGTTTAGTTCTATTTTATTTTATTTTTTAAAAACATCTGTTTTTAACTTTTGCTAAACAGGATTCTACCACTTTAACCCCTTAGCCAGTCTCTTAGTACATCAGTTATTTTCTTAAAATAGAGTCATACTTTGTGCCTGGGATGGCCTAAACTTAAACTGTGACCTCCTATTTGTGCTTTCCTTGTTAATGGGATAACAGGCTCATGCTACCTCACTCAGCAGTGGGTTGAGCTCAAGTCTTGCTAACATTTAAACCTGGGATGGCCTTGAACTAAGAGTCCCCTGATCTTTGCCTCTTTGCTAGGATTACAGGCTTGAACCACCATACCTGGCAAGGATCAATAGGCTTTTTCAGGGATTCAAGGCTATATTTTCCTTTAACATAGAATATCGTTTGGTTGATGGTGGTTTTGATAGGTCTTCTAAGAAGCTGTTGATAAAGTTGAATGTGCCAATGCCTCATGCATTGCTTTTCTGTAGATTTTATTCATGAAGGTGTTGTATTTTATTCTTCATTAATCTGGGGTTAAAGGACCCAGTAGGCACCAGACAGATTTTTGTCTATATTATCAGCTTTCCTGGGTTTTGTTCAAGAGGCTTTCAGAGAAACACTTACTTATTCATTGCTGCCTTAAAGAATGAGCCAAGAGAGGCTGGGAAGGTAGCTCAGTGGTAGAGTGCTTGCCTTGCATGCATAAGACCCTGGGTTCGATTCCTCAGCACCACATAAGCAGAAAAAGCCAGAAGTGATGCTGTGGCTCAAGTGGTAGAGTGCTAGCTAGTTAGTCTTGAGCTGAAGAGCTGAGGGACAGCCCCCACGCCCAGAGTTCAGGCCCCATGACCAACAAAAAAAAAAAGAATGAGCCAAGGGAGAGAACTGGGCACTGATGACTCACTCCTAGCTACTCAGGGGGCTGAGATCTGAGGATTGTGGTTCAAAGCCAGCTTGGGCAGAAAAGTCTTTGAAACTCTTATCTACAATAAACTACCAAAAAGCCAGAAGTAGACCTGTGGCTCAAGTGGTAGAGCAATAGCCTTGAGCAAAAAAAACTCAAACAGCACCCGGGCCCTGAATTGAAGCTCCAGGACACACACACACACACACACACACACACACACACACACACACTGGGCAGAAAATGTGTTTAAAGGTTTATAGTTTCCTCTGAGGAATGCTTGAACTCTGTTTCACAAACTCAGCATGTTTTCTTTCCTTTTCATTCAAATCTAAGTATTTTGAAAGATTTTCCCTTATGTTTTCCTTTTTAACCAAGTTCTAGCCTTAAGGCATTTCATTTAAAGCTTTGATTTTTACATTTTATGTTCAGAGAAGATAGTCTGTGATGTTGATTCCTTAGAATTCATTGAGGCTTTGGCCTAGTGTGTAGTTACATTTTTCAAATGTTGAAAGCAACTAAGTAATTCTATATGATATAGACATAGAGTATAGACTTCTTTATATATCTACTAGCTTGAACATGCTTGGTTATTATTTAGACCTTGTTTATTTCTATTCTTTGTTAAAAAAACTTGTTTGTTTTTGTCTACTCATTTTAGTAGTTTCTAAAAGGGCTAATTAAAAACATTCAAGTCTTTGTCAATTTATCTCTTTTCCTTGTCCTGCTATTAGTTCTTACTTTACATATTTATATACATGAAGTCATATGATTAATATGGAAGAGCATGTTTTTACTCTTGTATTTCTTTTTCCAATAGGTAGTTTCCATCATGGTCCCTTATGATTTCTTAAAATTTGAATTCTGTATTATGAGATACCAGTATAGATGCTCCAGCTTTCTTTTGATTCATATTTGCTTAGGATATCTTTCTTCATTTTATTTCTCATTTTGTGGCTTTGTTTCACATAGAAAATGCATTACTTATACTGAATCTAAAAACTTTTAATTGATGCATTTTAATTCACTTATGCTTATAATTATTATTTTGTAAGGACTTACTTTAATTTTTAATATTTTTGTTTTATTAACTTCTTGCTTTCTAATGGATAATTTTTTCTTATAATTTAAAACAACTCCCACTTTTTTTTTCTATATTGATTGCTCTTAAGATCCCCAACTCCCTCCCTCCCTCCCTCCTTC